TTTTTACATCTTTCCCCTTTTTTACTCTTTTTTGACCTTTTCAATCATCCATTTCTACATTTTCTAACAAAATTTTCACTTAACCTTAAATAGACGAAGCAGAAGTCCGTATTTTACAATACGTTAGCCCTGTCTGATGCCTCATTGATAGGCGGCATGTGCAGAACTAAGGTTTTTCAGCGTGAAGGTGCAGACATCCGGTACATTCACCGAATTTCATTACGTGATGCACTCTGTGGAGTGTCAATCCAAGTACCAACGCTAGACGGAACAACGTATCCACTACGGATCAGCGATGTTGTCAAACCGAACACCACTAGGCGGTATAATTTTTGATTTTTTCTTTTTTTTTGGTTATTTTACTAGGATTTCCGATTTTTCTTCAGAATTCTCGGACTTCCCGGAGTTTTTTAAGTTTTCCAAGTATGTTGCAATTAAGTGTTGCGACTTGTTGGAAGGTTTCAGTCATTGATTTGAATTCGGAATTTGTTTTGGTGGACTCCAACTGAGTTGCCAAGTAGAACAGGCGCCTTTAGCTTGAGTTTTAAGCAAAATTCAAACGGAATAAGAATTCCTGCAAACAAATGTTTAAGGGCGATAATTCTGGTCACTTGGAAATTTTATTTTTCACAAAGCGCGAAAATTGAATCAAAAATTTAACTGTGAAAGCCGCAAATGGAATCTAACCTGCAATGGGTGGGGGGAGGGGGAAATCTTGCCCCCTTTTTCGTCGTCATTTGCTCCTTTTCGTTATTATCCTAGTGTTTTTTTTTATTATTATTATTTTTGACATTAGTGACTAATACAGCGTTTTTCGCTTTCTTTCAGATTAACGGGACAGGGATTGCCGAATCCGAAGATGGCTGGACGAAGGGGTGATTTGATTGTCGAATTTGACGTCAGATTCCCCGATTCAATCCCGGAAGGCGCGAAAGCATTGATTATGAATGCCTTGCCGGCGTAATCTGCGAAAAAAAGCTGCGGGACATTCCTCCTTCTCCATGAATTTAAAAGATTTTTTTCTCACCCCTCCCCCCTCCCCTCCCTTCACCCTTTTGTATTGTGCTTGCTGGAAAAAGTGTAAAACTGATTTTCGGAATATGTTCCTTTGATGCGGATTCAAATGTCTGTATTTACTTGGAATTAGATCTGTAAGTATGGGGAAGAGGGGAGAAGGGGGAGGGGAGAGGGAGGAGTCCGGACTTGCAAAAGGGAGGGTTGTATAGTTTATATAAAAAGCAGAAAGATCTAAAATGGAGAGGAATACGGTGAATTCTTTGATTGTGACCGAATTTCTGCGCGAAATTTTACCGCATCAATTACAGAGCGCATTGTTTACCAAAGTATTTATTAAACTTTCATATACAGATGAATTGTAATCATAAGTCTTTTAGGATTTATGATGATGATAAAAGCACTGGATATGTGTTTGATGTACTGGATATTTGATGAATTTATGTGTTTGTTTGAATTTTTGTCTAAATCACTGAATTGGTGTCAAAATGCGCCGGCATTTTGGGTGTATTTTATGTTAGGCCCATTTCCTTGTGAGCCTGTAAATTGGGCCTGTTTGTATTTTTCACCAATTTTATGCGGGTAAATTTTTGGATTTTTACTATATCTGAGCCAAAAAAATGGATATGAAGGACTGATTTTCGTGTATTATTGTATCTGTGTATTTTGGCTTGAAAAAAAAGAAATAAAAAAAAATATGCCTGGAAAATTAACTATCGGTTTTTACCGGTGTTCCTCAAATGGGTGAAGTTTTTCCCCCAGCTCTTGTTTGTGGAAATGTTCCTGTGATCGATTTTTATGAATCCCGAACATTTTTTTTTTGGTAAACTGCCTTCCTTTTTTCCCACTGATTTCTCTGCAAGTTTTTTTTTTAATAATTTTTCTAGTACCTGTAATAAAGAACGCATAAATCAGTTTTTCATACGGTGCGTTTGTTTAACAAACAAAAATTTTGGAAGTTTTTTTTTTTGATAAACCCACTGGAGCATTTTTCTTTGCATATTTGGTTTTTTTCCCAGCGCTTATATTATTATTATCATTTCTCATCCGATTCTGTCAACATTTTTTGGACAGCGGTGATTTTGAAGTTTTTTTTTTTTAAATACGACAATTTTTTACGGGTCTTTTTCAATAGTAATAGTTGATGTGGGACTGAAAAAAGTGCTGAAGAGAAGTATTTTTTAAAAATTTCTTTTCCTTGATGTTTTCGTGGGAATTTTCAAACTTCTAGGCCCAGAATCTTCGTTTTTTTGATGTGTGGTTCAGGATTCAGATGTATTTTTGTCCAGAATTGACAGTGATTGTCAATGGTACAGTGTGTATGAGTAATGGTCAGTGGTGCTCATCTGTCTGAGGTTTTTCGCATTTTTTCTGAGACTTTCAAACATTTTCTTGTATACCTTGATTCATCGTTTTTATGGCTTTTTGAGGCTTGAGATTCTTTTTTTTTCAAGTTTTCTGGAGAATTTTTCGACTCTTCCTGATGTCTTTCTGTCTTAGTAGTCTTCGTCCGAACTGCGAACCAGTCTGCATGTCGCTCCTGCGCTTTGAATTTCAGGGGAATATATGTTATATATGTATTTTTTGTGTGAAGATTTGCCGAAAAAAAAAAATTTTTTTTAAAGTTTTCTCTCGATAGCTTTCATTGATCGGAATTATGTATGCTTTCTGCTTTGTTTTTTTTTTACAAGACAAATACACACGACGTTACAGTCGTCAAGTATTGTAATCGCTACTGTGCTTGATTGGGTTTTGTTTTTTTTCTCTATAATTTCTTTTTTTCACAATTGATATCTGCATTCTTGTATGAAATAAATTCTTCGGAATTTCTGTCTCACATCGCAAGAAGTATTGCAGCGCTTTAGCGCTGCACGGCAAAAACGCATAAACTAGCGGCCGTTCGTCAAAAAATCCAAATATGTAAATGAACTGGATGTTGGGAGTGGATGAGGGCTGACGTTCACTGCAAAATGCATTCGTTTCTGAGTTTGCGGTAAAGTTGAATTGCCCTTGTTTCATTATCGCATTTCTTCATACCACTGATACAGCTGGCAACTTCTCCATTCTCCATCTTGAGCTTCTCTCATTCACATAATTCTACATGTAAGGACCGCAGTAGCGTAAGTTACTACTCTCTGCCTTTGCTTTTTGACAGAGATAAAGCATAGATTTGACAGTTTATCTATGGCGGTTTGATCAACAGTTGTTTCGTCGTCGCATTTCTTCTCGTCATTGGTGCAGCTGGTAGTCTGTTGAATTTGAATTTTATTGGAATAAAATTAAATAGGAAATTATTTCATTACATTTCATTGGACAAAAAATACATTGTATTTCGGTAAAAGATCTGGAAACCCTTGTTCGAAGCAGTCGCTGAATTCAAAGGCCAGCAGATGTTGCGTGTGTTTCAATCTGGCAAGCGTTAATACCTCGTTCAAGTTTGAAAAATCCTCTATCGCCCCACCTGAAAACGCAAAAAGTCTTGCTGCATAAAAGTGTTAGGATCAATGAGTCAAAGCGATGATTGGTGGAAAAAAATTGTTGATTGCAAGAGGAGTGAGGGCTGAGGCGTTGAATTTTTTGAGTGACGAAGGATGGCGAGTTTCAACACTCCAGCTGTTTTGGTTTGCAGAGTTGCGTCAAATTTCATGTGTTCTTACGTGAAGGAAACGGGAGCGTTAGTTTTCTGTTTTCGAAATCACTTGATTTAGACAAGTGAGCTTTTCCGTGCACCTAAACGTACTGCGAAGCGGGTTTTAACTGTGGTTTTGGCAGTAGTTTTAACTCTTTGAAAAGAAATGAATTTGCATTATCACTCATTTTGAAGGAAAATTGATTTTTTTTTTATTTTTTGTTCACTCAAATTACCTCCAGCTTCCATCCTGAGAATTGTTAACAGACTTATCAGTTATGCTACTAGTAATGAATTCTGTTTTCATCCGGCAGATAAATTCTTCAAGTGATACACTGAATGTAAGAGAGCGATTCTGGGTGAAAATGCTTACCAGTCA